GTGGCCATGGGGGCGTCGTGTGTGGTGAGGCAGTCGGGGCGGGAGTCGCAGGAACAAAGAGGGCGGCGGCGGCGGCGACGGCGACGAGGGCGTCGAGGGCGTCGAGGGCCGGCAGGGTGCGACAGGAAGCCGAGAGCAACTCTGGCGGGCAGAGGGAGATGGGATGCGCATGCGCAGAGGGCAAAGGGCAGAGCAGAGGCGGGCGTGGTGAGTCAAGGAACGGGCGGCGCGGAGCGGACGATGGGGGAGCGAGGTTTGGGCAGAAGACGGACGTCGAGTGCAGGCGTCGTGGTAGGCACAGAGGGGCTTTTTGGGCGCAGACGCGGACGCTGGCTGGGAGCTGGGAGCGACGGCCAGCCTGGGCGATCCGCGTTGTCGAGGCGGCCTGGGGGGGGGGTGCGCAGGAGCCAATGGGCGGCAGGGCCAGGAGCCGCGCCGGGTGTCGTCAGAGGGGTGCACACCTTACAGGCACACGGCAGCGATGGAGGGGAGGATGATGGTAGTGATAGTGGTGCCCAACTACTGGGAGCAGTCGGCGTGTCGTCGCTCGATGGCGGCGCTGGCTGTCGCTGTCGCTGGTGCTGGTGCTGGTGCTGGTGCTGGTGCTGGTGCTGGTGCTGGTGCTGGTGCTGGTGCTGGCGCTGTCACTGTCGCTGCTTTGGTGGACGGGGTAGGGGGGTGTGGCAGTTGGGGTGGTGTGGGCGAGATGGTGGTGGTGGTGGTGGTGGTTGTAATGGCGGTGGTAGCAGCAGCAGTAGCGGGATTAGGGCCCGTAGGGGTGGGCGGCAGTGGTAGGGAGGGTAGGGATAGTAGGCCTTTGCAGGATGGAGCGAGAGCGGTGGTGGTGGGCAGTGGTGGTGATGATGGTGGGCAGTGGTGGTAGTGGTGGTAGTGGTGGTAGTGGTGGTAGTGGTGGTAGTGGTGGTAGTGGTGGTAGTAGCAGTGGGAGTAGTGGCAGAGGTGGTGAGGATGGGGACGAGAGACGAGGACGGGGATGGAGAGGGAGACGGGGACGATGATGGAGGTGGGGTGGTGAGGTGGAGGATGAGTGCAGGGCAGGGCAGGGCAGGTAGGCAGGGCGAAAGGGAGGGCGGGCGAGAGGGCGGGCGGGCGAGCAGGCAGGTAGGCAGGCAGGCAGGCAGGCAGAGGAAGCGGATGGTGGGAAGCGACCAGACCAGACCAGGCCAGAGTGAAAGCAGCCAGCAGCAGGTGTGAACGGGGTGCGACTGCTTGTGACAGCCCAGCGAGGGCGCGCGTTGGGAGCGGACCACACCCTGGGGAGGGGGGGCGAGGGGGGGCGAGGGGGGGGCGAGGGGGGGTGAGGGTGTGGGAAGCCACAGGCCTGAGCTAATTTGATTACTGTGCGAGCCTTGGATTCGTCGTCGCACTCGCACTCAGCAATAGGTCCCCTTCCCACCCTTCCCATCCCCCCCCTCCCCCTTCGCCCAGGCCAGGGCGACGACGCGCCACCACCACCACCACCACCACTACTGCTGCTGCTGCTGCGACGGCCACTCATACCACGACGACCACCACCAGCACAGCACAGCGCGTCGGCCTGGACGAGGGCATAGTGCGCGCGAGGAGATGCGAGAGGGCGTTCCCCACGCGGGCGCAGGGCGCGGCTGATAACAGAGGCAGTGGGAGTGGCAGAGGGCAGCAGCCGCTCCCGCGCCGTCTGAGGTGCATGTGGTGGTGGATGTGGAGGAGCAGGAGACAGTGGTGGGCGTGGTGGTGTTCTTAGCAAGGATGGGTATAGGCCGGGGCGGCGGTTTAGCCTGCCCTCTGCTCTGCTCTGCGCTGCACTGGCCGGCGCCGGCGCTGGGTGGGCGGCTGCGGGCGGCTTTGCTCTCAGGCCCTCGCCCTCGCCCTCGCCCTCGGCTGCCGTCAGGCTCAGGCTCAGGCTCACGGTGGCGCGGCCGGCGCTGGTCCGATTCGGCGGAGGCCAGCAAAAAAACGAGGGCGAGCTAGCGGGTTGCAGCAGCCCGCAGTCGTGGTCGTGGTTGTGGTTGTGGCTCCAAGCCCACCGCAGACCGCGCCCGGCTGTTTGGCGCATCAAGTACCGGGCGGCCAGCCAATCACGCCCGCCATGCACGGAACTACGGTTCGCCCATGGGCAAGGGCGCGGCCCTACACCGACCGGCTAGTCGCAAGCACGTATCGGTGTATGCATGTATGCATGTCTATGTACACGTACATGGGACTCGTAGTCGTAGTACTTACCGCCTGCGCCTGCGCCTGCGAGCGCGCGTGCGTGAGGGAGAGAGAGAGAGAGGGTGCCCCCGGCTGGCGCTGGTTCTGGCGGCGGTGGTGGTGGTGGTGTGGTGTGCCCAAGCTTATCGACGACCCGCGCCCGGCCACCCCCCCATGTCGTGCCTTGGATCAGGCAGCAGACGCAGCATCGGCTCCCGCAGCCAATGACGCCCGCCGCCAGCGCTTCTCGGCTTGCCGGTAGAAAGCCCGAGCCAAAAAAGCATCCACCCGTCCGCCCTTGACACGCTCCCTCTCCCTCTCATGCTCTGCTCACACTCACACCAACACACACACACACACTCTCTCTCTCTCTCTCATTCTCCGGCCCAGCATCACGCCTCCCGTGCAACCCCGGCGCCCACGCCCATTCGCCCCGCCTTGGTCCGTGTTCCGTCCTTGGTCGTTGTTTTTGCCTGCTCCACGACGACTCACACACGCGCGCACACACACACTCTTTCTTACGCACACTCACACGCACACTCACACGCACACTCACACGCACACTCACACGCACACTCACACGCACACTCACACGCACACTCACACGCACACTCACACGCACACTCACACGCACACTCACAC